CGAACGAGCGCGGGAGGCGCCGCCAGGGCACCGCGGGCCCGGGCGCGGCGCGGAAAAGCGAAGCGAGAAGAACGCGGCCCGGCGCACTGCGAAGCCAGGGACCGGGGCGCGGACGCCGCAGGTCGCCTTTTGAAGCCCTGCAGGGGGCTAGACGTCGTGCCGTTCAGGGACCCACGAGTCGCCCCTCCCCAGGACCATGGGCGTGGGCTTCGGCACTACCTTGGTTCCAAGGGACAGTTGCCACCTCTGCGGTCAACCCGGCCCGGTGTCCACGAGCAGAATGAAACCCACAACGGTGCCAGCCTTGCCACTCCCGGGACAGAGCAGTGCCCCTCGGACAAGGGCGCGGGTGAGGTTAGGAGTGACCTGCAGATACCTGATCGCCTTTGGCGACTTGGGAGCTTTATGGAACAGGATCAAGACTCAGGACCTAAGGACAGGGACAGTAGGGGACCAGACACTGTCCCCCACCCACCAGATGCCGCTTTCTTTTCTCCATCCTTTGCCTTTGGCTCCTTTTTGCGCGAGCTGGAGACGATCTTGGGCAGCACATTTGAGGGCTGAGGCTATTCTGCTCCATTGCGAGGCCACTGTCCCCACCTCTGAAGGCCGCTGGCTCGGAAGCCTGGTCACTTTGCACCCTGCAGGCGTTTGCTGACCTCCAGCTGGGAGGCACATTCCCAGGGAGAGGCCACAACTGAGCTTAGCGACCCGAAAAGATGGCCAAGAGGACGGGCAGTTGTGGGTCAGACCCGGGAGGGGGCTCCAGGGGCGACCACAGGCAGCGCGCTGAATCAGAGCCAAACTGTCCAGTGCCCACGCATTTGGCAAAGGCGGGATCATGTAGACTCGGCCTAAGGAGGTGCAGGGCTAGGCAGTTTGTGTTCAAAACAAATGGTGCATTTGAGGCTTGGCTCAGTCACCGGCCAGCTGTGTGGCTTTAGACACATGTGGCTCGTATGTTTTAGCCAGTAATGTACAAAGTGTGGTCCTCACAGCAGCACCTACCCAGCATCCATGAAAATGCCAGTTCCTGAAGGTCCCGCCCAGAAGGACCAACCCATCAGGTTCTCTACCCACAGTGGCAGCAGAATCTCCCCCAGGGCTAATTAAGGTAGATCCCCTGACTGGGAGAGACGTCACAGACCTCTAATCCCTCTGGGAGGCTGAGGCAGGAAGATAGCAAATTCAGGCCTCTTCTGGGAATTTAGCAAGACCCTGTCTCAAAGAAGGAAACTAAAGTAGTTGGGGATGTAGCTCAGTGCAAAGGCCCTGGGTTCAATCCTTGGTATGAAAAAAAGAAAAAGAGTGAAAAATAAGTAATGAAATAGATCCCTGAGAGTTTCTGATTCAGTAGGTCTGGGTAGGATCTGCATTTCTCACTCGTTCCCAGAAAATGCCTTCCCCTAACCCTGGGGCCACACACAGAGAACTACTGTACTGCAGTAGCAGGTCTCAGATTCACAGAATCTCCTAAGACTAAAAACAGCAACAAAAAACAAAGTCCAGGCTGCACCCCAACCCAAGAGATAAAGATTCCCGGGGTTGGAGCCCAGGCATCAGTATTGTTAACGTTCTGCGGTTGGCAGCAGTGTGTGTCCAGGCTTGAGAGCAATCCTGATAGACGGCAATCTATGTGAGAATCCCCTGGACTCGTGTTGCGGTGCAGACTGTGACTCAGGCTGAGGTTGTCCTACACGCACTCAGGGGATGTGTTTCTGCCTGGTCCAGGACAACACAGAGGGGTCAGGTGTTGTGTCACACCTCACACCTAAAATGACAGGCAGACAGATCACAAGTAGAAAGGAGAAAAGCAGTGTTTTCCCAGTCGCCCTCGTTGGAGGACAACACTTTCTACATGTTTGCCGTAGTCACTTTCTCTTCGCTGGGACAAAATGCCTGACCCCCACAGTTTAAAGGAGCAGAGGTTTGTTTCGGCACACAGTTTTTCAGAGGACTTAGGCCATGATCAGCCAGCTCCAAGGCAGGAAGGGCCTGGCGGGGGCGGGACAGTGGCTGGCCTCAAGTTGAGGAGGAAGCGAGGGAGACCCGCCCTCTGAGGTCACCACTTAGTAAGCTGCCTCATCTGACCAGGTGGCAGGGTGGGCTGCAGATTCCTCAGATGAATCGCCTGATCAATACCGCTCCCCCATGATCCAGCCACCATCCCACAGCCCCGCCTCTGTACACGGGAGCCTTTTGGGGATGATTCTCGATCTAAACCATAACAATGTTGTTTCTTTCATCTCCTCTGTAGGTCTGAAATGTGGTTGGGTTGATTCACTCTTGACAGATTGATGATCATCTCACAGGCGTAGCATAACCTGCTGTCTTATGATCACATCTTCAAGTCTGAAGGTGGTTCTCTTAAAAGAAACAATCAAGCGGGGGTGTCATGGCACACACTTGTAATTCCAGCACTCAGGAGACTGAGGCAGGAGGATCATTGCAAGTGGAAAGGAAAGGAAAGAGGAAAGGAAAGGAAAGGAAAGGAAAGGAAAGGAAAGGAAAGGAAAGGAAAGGAAAGGAAAGGAAGAGGGGAAGGGGAAGGGGAAAGGGAAAGGAAAGAAAGGAAAGGGAAAGAAAGAAAAGAAAAAACAATCAGAGAGGTCAAATGTTAAAAGGAGGAGCCTGTGGAGAGCGAGGTACTGTACAAGGGGGGCTGGGAAAGAATGGGGTGGAACTAGAGAACCTCCCCTGGTCTCTCTGCATCTCACTAACATTCTTTGGTTGGATGGAAACTTATATAACAGGAAGTATTCTTACATTTCTTTCCCTAGTCTGGCAAAGCGGTACATGCCTGTGATCCCAGCTACTTGGGAGGATCAAAAGTTTAAGGCCAGGTCAGTGATCCAGGCTACTCAAGGATCAAAAGTTCAAGGCCGGCTCGAGCACTTAGCTTGGAAATTTCACAGCCTGCAAAATTAACCCCTGAAAAATGTGTGTCCTTCCCCTTGTGGAGCGTTTATGCTTAACTTTCAGAATATAAACATTTATAGTGACCTGGGTCTGCTTGTTATCTTAGGCTGCATGGTATGAAATATTTCTAAATTCAGTGGTCAGCTCCTCTTAACCCTCCATTTGTTAATTTTAACTTTTTAAAAACTGTAACGCAAGTGTGTATGCATGGCAAAGCCTAAAAACCAAGCCATAAGAAGCATACTGAGTAACACTGGTGAGGGACCCAACCTTCCAGCCTCAGCACCACTGCCTGCAGATAGTTTTCCCGATAGCTTTTAGACTTCCTGATATTGTCTGGGTTTTTGTTTGGGTTTTGGTTTTTGTGGTACTTGAGTATTGAACCCAGGGCCTATATAGCACATTGAGCTATATCCCCAACCCTTTTTTTTTTTTTTTTTTTGAGACTAAGTCTCACTAAGTTGCTGAGTAGCCCAGTCTGAACTCAAATTTACAATCCTCCTGCCTCATCCTCCAAGAAGGTTGGGGTGAGCAGCGCGCACCACCACACCTGGCTGTTTTCTGGTCTTATACCTGTAGGCAAAGTGGTGGCGCGCACATCTTCTCTGTGAGGAGCTTATGTGTCACAGTGAAGTAAAACTTTTTAGCTCACTGTGTCTCTCAACAATACATCATTCTTGGGTCAGCAGACTCCGGGTTTAGGGGATCAGTGCTCGCTGGACATGAAGAATGTTCTGTTAGGAACTGAGGGAGCCTGCACACAGCCCCTACTCAAGCAAGGGTAGGTTTGCCCAGAGCCCTGAGCAGTTGTGCCGGGCAGAACTGGTATTCATATCCTGTGTAACCCCCTCGGGAGGAGGGAGGTAAGGTCAAGATCATGATTAGATTACAAAACTGACTTCCAGCTTGCTAGCATTCTTTCTCTTGGTGACATGCACTTGCCCTCGATGACTTGCCTTGATGAATCCAGCTGCCAGGTGGAGAGGCGGCCACTCCTGAGAAAATGAGGCCCCCAGGGCAACAGCCTGAGGCCCTGAGTCCTGCCGCCAGTCAGGAGGGTGAACTGGTAACGACCACTGCCTCTCGAGAGACCAGAGCCAGGGGACCCAGCTACGCAATGCCTAGATTCTCAACACATGGAATTGTTACAGGCAGCTGAATTAGAAATAT